TGGCACAACTCCTCGTCCATCATCATTGTCACCGCCGTCGTCGGCTTCTTGTCGCTGTAGCCACCGGAATCGTGCCCTGTCGCTCCTCAAACTTAATAATGCTGTTTGCTGATTCTCCTCACCCGCTCGCCTCCTCCGTCAGTCCCTCTCCTCACCCGCCATCACCTTATCTTAATCGTCGTCCCCCTGCTGAGGTTCATTCCCACATGTCTTCACCCTTGTTCGGGCACACGCTAACATGGAGTACAACTCAGTGGCTCTCTCACGCGGGAGCGGGTGAGGCCAGTTATTTGCCCAAGTAGGCTGCGCCTAAAGGATTCGTATGTGTTTGCTGTCCCGCAGGCGTTCCTCGGGGTCCTTCGGTCCCTGGCGCTGCCCCGGATTATTCAGCTTTCCTCGGCTTTGCTCCAAGCAGCGTCAAGTAATGCCACGCATTGCTAAGCAATGCTAAGCGACGATTCCAGGTAATGCAAAGCAACATCTAGCAATGCACAGCAGTGCCAAAAAAGGCAACAACACAAAGCCAGCGACAAGCAAGGCCAATCAATGTCAAGCACCGATTCCCGAGAACGCCAAGCAAAACCAAGCAGTGTAAAGCTAATGCTAAGCAGTGCCAAGCACTGCCAAACAACGCCGAGCAACGCCAATCAAATATCCAACGCAAGTTCAGGCACGAGTCCAAACAGCGCCAGCAAAACCAAGCAGTGTAAAGCTAATGCTAAGCAGTGCCAAGCACTGCCAAACAACGCCGAGCAACGCCAATCAAATATCCAACGCAAGTTCAGGCACGAGTCCAAACAGCGCCAAGCAGTGCCAAGGAATGCGTGACTTTGAAAACAAAATGATGCTTTGGGTTGTGCGGGATACTCCAGATTTCGTAATAAAGGGAGGGGGGTCTCATTTCGGGGGGGGGGGTCGGGGCGGGTCTCTTCCAGGCTATCTTGGAGGGCCTGGGGGGTCTGGGGACGATGTTTTGGAGGGTTCTCCCACGGGGGAGGTCTGAAATGGCCTGCCTTGGCGGGTCCAGACCCCCTCCCTTTTATTACGAAATCTGGAGTAGCTGCCCCTGTGTCGAGGACTGGGCGGGGGTGGGGGCACCCAAGTCGCCGCGCCTGGCACCGACCCGCTGCGGGACCCCCGCCCGCGTGTCGAGGGCCAGGGGGGGGGGGTCCGAGCCCCCGACTCGGGCAACGGCTTGCGCCCACCGCCCTCTCCTCCTCCTCCTCCTCCTCCTCCTCCTCCTCCTCCACGATTCGATTCGCTTCGATATGAGGCGGAGGATGTCGATGCTCAGCCACGGGTGAGAAGAAAGTGCAAAGAAAATTAAGGGAAGGCGGCGTCAGCGGCGAGCGGCTGCCGCCTGCGCTCGAGGCGCGGACCTGAGGACCAAGGGGTCCACGCAAAGAGTGGCGGGTTACTGCAGTTAACGTGCGCGACACGAAAGAACAAAAGAGGGGGGGAGAGGCGATAGACCCTCATCCCGCAGCACAAGTTACCGACAAAGTCGAGCTGCGCGCTATGCGCGCAGCACCCTCCAGCCACTACCTTTTAAGCTGGGCGTACAGCGGCGGTGCCCGTGGGCACGGCAGACATTCACAGGAGGGCCCTTCACCATGCTGCGGTGCCACCCTAAGCGGTCTGAGGTGTGCGGGAACAGAGGGCGAGAAGGAAAGCGAGTCCTCACGATCGCCGCACACGAGGGGCATGTAGCGCACAGTCCATGGCAATGCCCGTAGCCACATATGGGTCCAGGGGACAACGGAACTTTCTGAGCCCCGTAGGTAGTTGCCACCCGTCGTCCACTGTGTCTATACCCAGTTGTCGGCACAAGGTAGCATCCTGACGAGCAGTCCAGTTACTGGGTTGATCCAGGGTCTCGCGAGTGAGCATGCGACTGCCCTGGGCAAGGTGGGGGAACCTCAAAAGGGCGCTTTCGTGCAGGGTGGCCGCCAGAAATATGCATATGCCCCTTGGATAGGTATTGACCGCTGAGGGAACCCAGGACCCGTCGGCCTCAAGTCCCTGGAGGTCCACGTGCTGGTGATCCCTGGTGCATTGCCCCTTGTGTCTTGTGGAGTTGAGCCATGTCGCCATAGCGGGCACACTTACTGCAAGGAGTGTGGTGGGTTTTTTGGCTCTGCCCCCAAATGCGGACTGATGCACGGTGTGTGACATTACTCATTCCGGTCTCACAAGTGAGGCAAGGGCTGGAATGGATCACGCGGGGGGGACGCCTTGGATCCATGTGCACTCTGCTGGGTGCTCCATAATCGCTGGAACTCTATGCAGCCATGCAATGCGGCGGAAGCGAATGGTCGTGCGGAGAAGATCATTTCCCACATCAAATAGCTGCCTTTCTCGCCCCGTGACATGTCCCAATCCCCATAGGTGCTGAGTGGATCTTATGGGTCTCGGTGGCTTCCTAGACTCAGGGTTGGAGGCGTGACGTGCCGCTGACCAGCGCTCGGACGGTGGCCCTGCGAGCAAAGCTGCAGCCCTGCCTGACCTCAAGAGGTCGATCCAGACTTCTACGGTTTCGTCGCGTCTCCTCCTCCTCCCCCTCATCCTCGTCTTCGCCCTTCCTCCTCGTCTTCGCCCTTCCTCCTCCTCCTCCTCCTCCTCCTCCTCCTCCTCCTGCTACCTCCCCACCTCCACTCCGAGAGCCCAGGGGGTTCCCACCAGCCGCGCCTCGCGCTGGCCGCCTCGCTGCAGGAGCCGCCAGACTCGCTATGCTGCCCCAACTCCTGGGCGGGGCTGCCCGAACGCCGCCAACGGCAAGCGGGGGCCCTTGACCCGCTCGCGTCGTGAGAAAATCGCGCCGGCTTCATGGGGGCGATCGGCTGGCCCACGGACGGCCGAAACGACCCAGGACTAGAAACCTGGCCCTGGGTAGTGGGTCGCGACCGAAGGGGGTCGACGCTGCGAAAAGATCATGAACTATATACCTGCGCTCCTGATGCCACGATAGGTTTCTGCTTTGTCCGATGGAACCTGCATGTGAAACTATACATCTAAGATACAACTATAGACGCACACGCGCACTAAAAACACGCGCGCGTAGGTTCCAGTTTGGGCCCCGACCGCGCGGAACATGCTGGCTTCGAACCTCATCAATGCTCGTCCTCGTCCTTGTGAACGTCCTCGTCGTAGTCCCTGTTATTTTCCTCCGTCTCCCCCTTCTCCTCGGCCCCTGCCTGACGCTAGACCCTGGCCCCCCAGGCCCAGACCTTGCCTCTCTCTGGTCATCTCAAAGCAACTCCAGGCGCGGCGACACGGGCCCCAGAGGAAGAGCAGCGGCACCAGCATCTGCGCCTCCGCTGACGAACCCTCTCTCCCGCGGGGCAATGGAAGCCGCGCGGCGGCGATGGGCAGCAGCGGGAGCGGCGCGGCCAGGCGACGCCGGCGGCGCTGCAAGGCAAGCCGCGCTCCGACTGCGCCCCGGGAATCGCGAGGGCCCCCGCGCGGGCGCGGGCGCCGGAAGGGGGGGCCGAGGACGCTCGAGGTGTTGCGCTCCCATATATAAGTTACATATAAAGAAAAATATAATTTGTCCGAAGAGGTTTGAGCATCCCCAACTGTTTTTGGGCCGTGTGGCCCCCAAAGCATCCGAAGCCTCTTGTTGGGGGGCCGAGGGGGCTCGAGATTTTTGGGGCGTTTTGAACCCTCTGTGGGTCTAGGCACGGTGCTCCGCCAGCTTTCCAATGAAAGCTGTAGCCGTGGTCGCTTGGCGTATCTGACATGGCGATTGTCTCCGTGGTTCCACCGCTATGTATGCCGCAAACAACGCCGACAGTCCCAAGGGCTCGCGAGTGTTACCCAGGACACAGGCCACATATTTATCTTGCACATCAGGCCCGAATCCTCTAAAAACATGTCCGCGAGCAGGTTGGTCCCGCATCCCGTATCACTGATGAACATCATGGATCGAAGGTTCATGGGGTCGGCCTCCCACCCCCGCTTGGCCCTCCCAACGAATGCAGCGCGCCTGTGCCGTCGCGCTGGGCGTCGTGGCGATCACGGTCGCTCTGGGGCCCCAGCTCCCTGTCGATCCATAAATGCCAAACTTCTCGTTCGCGAGTGCAGCGGCCTCATCGCGGGCAAGCTGCTGGTGCACTTGCCCTTGCGTTCCCTGGCCCTGGCCACCCTGGTGGGACAAATCAACGCGGCCGCCTGGCGCGCTCGGGATTTCCCTGAGCCGCCCCTCTCGAAGGGCCTAGAGAGCCCAAGTGGGCGGGCGGGGGGTCTTGGGGTCGATCCGCGCACTTTTGCGCGTCGTCGCATAGCGACGCTCGCGCACCTCGGCATCTTCGCAGAAAGCGCCCCGCCCTGGCCGCCCTCGTCGGAATAGCTCGACGGCGCCAGCTGGGGGGCCGGGGCGACGCCGCCAGCCTGGATGCATCGCAATCGACGGGCGAACAACATGTCCCCAGGAACGCCCGCGCACCTCCGGTTAGCCTGGCCGACCACTGGAGCAGCCAGGCCGAGATTTCCAATCTCAAACTTGAATTCTACTGTTATAATAGTTCTGCGTAACCCTGTCATCGGGGCCAGCCAAACATCTCATAGGTAGAGCACGGAGTCCTGGCCCGGCGCGAAAAACTGCGGGATCAGCGACGCATTCTTCAATTCGAAGACGGGGGGTTCAGCGCCCCCCGCTCGGGGCCGGCACCGCCGACATAGCTGCCAGACGCCGGCCCGAGGCGCCGCGGATGTCTCGGGGCGTTCGCGCGGCCCGAACAGCTCGCGCCACGCGGGCAGGTCTGCCCTGCCAAGTGCCTCCACTGCCTCTTCTTTTTGCTAGTGCATTTCCCCCTGCCGCCCCCGTTTCCCTCCTCGGCTATTCCGCCTGGGGCGGCATTCTTGGCGGCGGCGGAGATCTGGTCGGAACTCCGATAGCAAGGAATGGGCTTGCCGGCTCCACCTAGATTCGCCGCGTACTTGTCCTGGAACGGCCCCTCAACTTCCGCGGCTGTCCTACGCGGCCGAAGGCGCTTGCTGGGGCGATGGGCGGGCGCCGCGACTGAGCGCGCGCCGCAGCTCGTTCCTGGCGGTGTTCCAGCTGGAAGCGTGGCTCCGCGACCTCTGACGCGCCGCGCCGCTGCCGCCTCTCCGTTGCCGCGGGGCTGGCTGCGCCCGCGTTCCCTGCTCGATGTTCAATAGCCGGCCGCGTCGGGGCTGGGTCGATCAGTGGGCGCTCGCTCTGTCCCGCCGACGTCGCCCCCGCCCCCGCCCGGGGGCCCGCCCCGCGGCGCGCGCCGACCCCGGCGCACCCCTCAATGACCCTCCTTTCCTCGCCCAAGGGGTTCGCCCGACCCGCCGTCGCAGCCGTCGCTCGACGAATCGTCGCCATCTCCATCTGGACAATTAGTCTCCGCGACCAGGTCGGCCCGATCCATGAGATCGCTTGGTCGGCCCTTTGGGGGCTTGTGAGTCGCCCTCGTCGTCTCTTCCACGCAGCGGCGCCGCCGTCGCCCCCGCCCCCGCCGCCTGGCCCCCCTCGGCCGGGCGAGGCGTATCCGGCAAAGGAGGCGGCGGAGACAGCATTCGCGCGCCGTCTCTCTCTCTCTCTCTCTCTCTCTCTCTCTCTCTCTCTCTCTCTCTCTCTCTCTCTCCTCTCTCTCTCTCTCTCTCTCTCTCTCTCTCTCTCTCTCTCTCTCTCTCTCTCTCTCTCTCTCTCTCTCTCTCTCTCTCTCTCTCTCTCTCTCTCTCTCTCTCTCTCCTCTCTCTCTCTCTCTTCTCCTCTCTCTCTCTCTCTCTCTCTCTCTCTCTCTCTCTCTCTCTCTCTCTCTCTCTCTCTCTCTCTCTCTCTCTCTCTCTCTCTCTCTCTCTCTCTCTCTCTCTCTCTCTCTCTCTCTCTCTTCTCTCTCTCTCTCTCTCTCTCTCTCTCTCTCTCTCTCTCTCTCTCTCTCTCTCTCTCTCTCTCTCTCTCTCTCTCTCTCTCTCTCTCTCTCTCTCTCTCTCTCTCTCTCTCTCTCTCTCTCTCTCTCTCTCTCTCTCTCTCTCTCTCTCTCTCTCTCTCTCTCTCTCTCTCTCTCTCTCTCTCTCTCTCTCTCTCTCTCTCTCTCTCTCTTCTCTCTCTCATCTCTCTCTCCTCTCTCTCTCTCTCTCTCTCTCTCTCTCTCTCTTCTCTCTCTCTCTCTCTCCTCTCTCTCCCTCTCTCTCTCTCTCTCTCCTCTCTCTCTCTCTCTCTCTCTCTCTCTCTCTTTCCCTCTCGCTGCCCCGCCCCCCTGGGCCCGAAGATCCTCGGCAGCCCCGGCTTTTGACGGCCTCTCGGCCCGGAGAGCTAACTTCTGGGCTTGTCCCCCTTCTTCTCGGCCTCCAGTTCGGGCGCGGTTCCTCGCCTTCCGCGTTGCCCCCGCGGGTGTTTCAATGAGTCGTTGGTGCTCCGCTTTTGCCTTGTTCTCGAAAACATAAAATCTTTCGTCGGCCTCGTCGCCGGGCCGCTGCGTCGCCGCCGTTCCCGGGGCGCCCCCAGCGCAGTCGGGGGCGCCTCCGGCATCGGCGGGCAATCGAAAGACCCTGTCCCGGGGGCGGTCTGGGACGCCATTCGCCCCTCGTGCTGACGCCTGACCCCCCCCCCTCCCTCCGCTTATTCTCCCCAGTGCTTCATCTCGGCCCCCCCCTCGCTCTTCGACGAGGTGTCGCAGCGCGTCGCGCGACGCCATTCGGCGGAGCCGAAGCGATGGTCACAGCGAGCCTCGGCGCAACGCGCGCGATCGCAATCAACGCGGAGTCGGCGCGGGCGGCGCCAACGTCCGCGCCGGGGCGCGAGGGGCGCGGGAGAAGAAGCGGCGCGCGCCGCCCCGCGGTTCGCCCGACTGACATGCTGCTGCAGCCTTTCCCCAGGCGCGATGCTCAGCCAGCCTCGGAAAAATTGCGCGGCGCTTCCCAGGCCCCCGTGGATTGCGCGGCAATTCGAGCCAGCCGCGTCGGCGCGCGCCCGTGGCTCGCGTCGAGCGCCGGCCACTCGGCCCGCCGCTTTCTCTGCCATCGCCGCGCTCTGCTGCGCGACCCGGAGGGCCGATGCTCGGGCGGCAGCCCGTCCGGTCTGAGCCGCACCTGCCTATTCGAGGGCTTCCATCTTCACCGTCGCGCTTCTCGCCTCCGCTGCCTCGAGCTCCTTGATGGCCCTCGGCCCGACGGCAGTCCGCGCTTCGGCGGCCACCTGGATGGCGCACCCGGCCTCTTCGGCGGCGTTTTTCTATGGGTCCTAAGCGCGCTCCTCGTCGGCGACCGAGGTCTCGAACCTGTCGGCCAGTTCTCGCAGTTCCGCCGACGCCCGCGGCGCCAGCTCTGAGGCGGCCGCCTGCTGCCTTCGCCCCGCCCCCCCTGAGAACTTGCGCCATCTCGTTGCGATCTGTTTCGGCCTGGAGGCGCGCGGCAGCTCGCTTTTGGAGCTCGGTCTGCACCATTTGCTCTCTCATCTGAGTTGGCTCCGCATCTCTTTCCGCGACCGCCGGCACGCGCCCCTTCTCCGCTGACCCCCCCCGCGCCCCGGCCCTCGAAGGGCCGCCCAGTTGCGGGGCGCCGGGGGGCCGGGGGGGGGGGGGGCAATCGGGGCAGGAGAAAGATTCATTGCCGCGGGGGCAGCCGGGCGAGCATTCCCGGCACATGCGGAATTGAAACAGCGGTCGCGACCCCCTGGGCAGCAGCTCCCAGAGGTCGACGCGCAGCTCGGACCAAAGGTGGCACATGGGTCCTGAATCCGCATGCTCGAAGCGCTCGGTTTGGCAGCGCGCGCCGATGAAATCGACGCCCCAGATGGGGGCCGCACGGCGAGGCCGCAAGAAATAGCCGCGAACCAGTCTCGGAGGCGAGCGCGAGGAACATGCCTTCTCGAAGGACTCCACGCGAGGTTTTCGCCGCGAAGCTGGTCGCGCGGTCAGGTCGCCGCGCCGAATGGTCCGGGGTCGTAGTTCCCATGTCCCCCCCTCGGCTCGGGCAGCGATGTCCCGTCCGGGATTCCACGCGTCTTCGATCGTTTGCCCATGGGTGAGGTAATTGGCAGCTCAAAAGGTTGTCTTGGCTGTTTGGACGCAAGTCCCCTCGACTCGTCTTGCGCCGCCGACGCGGGCGACGCATCGTCATCAAAAGGGTTTCGGGTACCACGTCCGCCTCTGTAGTCATAAGAATCGATGCGTCGAGGCGAAAGACTTCGGTAACATGGTTACCCATAGCCACCGATTCTTCCTGGTCTGCATCCGCGTCCGCAGCCCAAGGCGGCAATTTAGTATCTAGATAATACTCGAACCGTCGCCCGAGGACTGCCATGCCCCCGTATCACGGGGGGGTCGCGGTGTTGATTTCACCGATGCGTCCGCTTCCGACGCCGCGGAAATCGCGCATCCGAAGTGTGAAAATGACCACGTAGGCTCAATGTTACCGATGTCGGCACTGGGGGCCGTAGAGGGCCCCGGCTGCCGTACCAATCTTCTTTAACCTTCCGTGGGTCCGTCCGCCCGCGGCGCGTCCCCGCGACCAGCGCCATGGCTCGATGGCGAGCCTACGTGCTGAGCCGAATTCGGCTTGCGGAAGTTCTGCGGGGGACCCGCAGCGGCACCGCTGACACGGTCAGCGGGTGTCGTCACGAGGGTCACCCTTCCTATACCTTGTACGCATTGGCAACGCACGGACAAAGCGGGCCTGGCCATTAGTTTTCCTGGCTGTCGTTCTCCGGGTCAACCTTCATCCCGTACCTGTTTGGTCCCAGCGCCCGCGAGGTCTGCGACGCAATCGCGAGACCTAGTGGCGAGCATTTCGGCTGATAACCAGCCGGATGCCGAGTAAAATCCAATGTGGCGGATCTTCGTGTTTGTGCACGTATGTTTATGATGACCAGGTTGTTATTCATGCACGTTCGGGGATGGACAGACCCCCCTTTAGTAAAACGTGGTTTAGTGAAATCGACCTGAGACCCAAACCTGGCGGGCGCAAGCCTGGAAAATAGCGGCCACGGCGCCCTCTCGAGAACTGAAAACGGACAATTCACTAATCGACGTGTCACTGTTGGGGGTTCTGTCCACCCCCGACACGTGTATGGTGTCTAGCATCGGCCTCATGTTGAGCCTCGGGGCGGGGGACCTCGCCGTCGACATTACGCGAATATTCGGTAAGCGAATCTACAAAATATGCGCGTGCGTGCGTGAACGCCCGATCAGGGGAGGGGAGGGCGCGCGCGCGTTGTCTTAATCCCTCGCAAACGCAGTTGGACAACTACCAAGTAGCGTTTATGGCGCCGCCAACCTCGAGTCTGCGGCACGTTGCCGCCTGTGCCGCCTCGTGCGCCACGTGGGTTTCCCGAGGTTGCGCCGCGTTGCCGCCAGTGCCGCCTCGTGGGCGCCCCGTGCGCATGGTGGGTTCCCGAGGTTGCGCCATGTTGCCACCCGTGGCCGCTCTCGTGGCCGCCTCGTGAGAGCCCCAGGCTCTGAGCTTACATAACATAGATTTCAGCACGTAGCTTACACCGCATAACTTACACTACATAGCTTACACCTCATAGCTTACTCCCCATAGTTTTCTCTTCCAGCTCGCACCGCGTCGCTTGCCTTACGTAGCTCACACCACATAGCTTACACGAAATGGCTTGCAAAACAAAACTTGCACCGCAGAGCTTTCACCTCCACAGCGCAGTAACGAACTACTTTTGGTTCGCGCCAGGTTCTTTTACGCACTCGTTCTGGCAGGGACCGTTATGTATTTACCTATATATACTGTTGCAGATGAACTGGGTACGTCCCTGGGCATATTCGAAACATATATCCTCGACATTTTCGCCCGTCCCCTTTCTTCCTGCTCGTCCTCCTTCTTGCCCCTTCCCCCTTCATGCCTCCTCCTCTTCCTGCTGCTCCTCCTCATCCTCCTCCCGCTCCCTCACGGCCCCCGTCACATCCTGGCCAGTGGGGCGGACACATCCGCGGCGGTCCTTGTTCCGCAAATTCACCTCCGCCCAGGCGCCTTGGCAATCACCGCGCCGGCAGACGTTGATTTTCCATTCGCGAGCACGACGCGGAGGAGGAGGAGGAGGGGAGGAGGAGGAGGAGGAGGAGGAGGAGGAGGAGGAGGAGGAGGAGGAGGGAGGAGGAGGAGGAGGAGAACGGAGGAGGACCCGCTGGGTTCCAGACGTGCCCGGCTCTCAGTCTTCCTCGGCCTTGGGCCGCCCATCCTGGGCCTCGCGGCCCCCCTGGGTTGCTCCCCTGCCGCCGGTCTCCTTGGGGGCCTGCCGTGCGGGCCCTTGTTGGCATGGTGGCCGTCGGCCCCTCGGGACTGTTGCTCCGGGGCGGGCCTGTTTGGCCTTCCCGGGCTCGTCCGTCGTTTGCACTCCCGTTCGGGGCCTGCTGTGCCGCCTTGCCGGCTCGCGTCGTGGTCGTCCTCGTTGCGGTCGTCTTGCCGTGCTGCGGTCTGGGTTTCGGACTCTGTCGCTCGGCTCGGCGGCGTTCGTGTCGTGGTCGCCTGTCTCGTTGTCTTGTGCTGTCCCCCTTGCTGTCCTCGTTCGTTGCGTTCGCGTTCGTGTGTCCCGCTTCTCTTCTTCCTCCCTGCCGGCTGCCGCCCTGGCGTCCTCGCACTGGCTCGTTCTAGGCGTTGGGCCCCTCCCCTCGGCTGGCCTCCTGCCGCTTTCTTTTCGGCTCGCGCTCTTCGGGAGCTGCGGTTCGCCCCCCCTCCCCTCCCGGCCCCGGCCTCCGCCGCCCCGGCCCTCGGCCCCCGACCGGCCAGCCGCTGCGCGGCGGCCCGCGTGGGCAAAAAGAGGAGGAGGGAGGAGGAGGAGGAGGAGGAGGAGGAGGAGGAGGAAGAAGAGGAGGAGGAGGAGGAGGAGGAGGAGGAGGAGGAAGAGGAACAGGAGGAGGAGGAGGGGGAGGAGGAGGAGGAAAAAGAAAAAGAGGAGGAGCAGGACGAGGGGCAGGAACGACACCTCGACGCAGATTCGTGAATACGCGGCGAGACCGTTATGTGGTCCCCGTGGGGCCCTCTTGTGGCCCTCTTCGGTCGTTTTGGGGCCTGGTGCGTCTTTGAGCCTTCTGGTGGCTCCCATGTGCCATCTTCGGGCGATCCGCGAAACTTTTGGGGCCGTCTTGGGTTGTCCGAAGATAGGAGGAGCGAAAAAACAAACATTATTGAACGTCCTATGGGGCATCAAACACAAGCGCATTTCTTGACAACATTCCTGTGCTGCGTTCTTGTTTTGAATAAAACACTGCGGTCTCAACTCCCTGCAGCTCTCCCCCTCTTCCTCTGGATGCCTCTTGCCTCGCCGTCTTGTATGGGGGTTCCCCGGGGGGCCTGCGATGTGCGAGACTGTCGCCGATGTCGACGGCTGCTGGGAAGGCCAGTTGTGGGTGCCATGCGCGGGTTCGGGTTCGACCTCGCCGTCCCCTGGTGGGTTGCGACCTGTGAAACAGCCGCCACCTTTGAAAACTGTTTGTGGGGTCCAACGGAGCGACGCGATGCGCATATTCAAACTAATCCTCGCCATCCCAGAAGGGGCTTGCGAACTGTTCCAAGGCTGCCGGGGGGTCCAGTAGAGCGACGCGCTACGCAACTCCAGATTCCACCTCGCCGTCCCAAACGGGCTGCCAATTCTAAAAGCGGCCGGCGCTTTCGAGGGCAGCTGGAAGCTCCCACGGAGTGACCCTCGCCATCCCTGGCGGGCTGCCAACTGTGAGTCTGTCGAAATGTTCGAACGCTGCTGGAAAATCCACTGAGAGACGCGTTACGCAGATGCAAACTAGAACTCGCCATCCTCGGGGGGGCTGCAGAATGCTGATCAATTGCCCTTTTCGAGGGCTGCTGGGGGGGCCACTTGAGCGACGTTCGTCGCAGATTCAGACTCGACCTCGCCCTCCCGGAGGGGTGCGAATTGTACACCTGTCGACGATTTCGAGGCCAGATGGAGGTCTAGCAGAGCGACGCGCTACACGCACCCAGACCTCGCCATCCCTGGGGGGCTGCGAACTGCAAAACGGTCGCAATGTTGGAGGGTCGCTGGGGGTCCAGCTGGGTGGCGTGCTGCACATATTCAAATTCGATGTCGCCATCCCTTGGGGGGGGGCAAACTCCTATTCGATAAAACCTCACCCTTGACGCTGCGCAGATTCTGATACGACTTTGCCTCGTCCAGGCAGCCGATCGCCCACGCCCGCGCTGCCTACCGACCTAACCGCGAGACTGGTCAACTGCACCAGCCCGGGCGACACGGGTGGCGTTCACGGGGTGCTGCCCCTGCACGTCGGCATGCGCACGCGCCTGCTGTAGCGCCTCGATTTCGACACAGGGTTCGCCAAGGACACCAAGGGCTAGGTCGCGCACGTGGCCGAATGACGAGGACGAAATGGAGGCAGCGGAGGACGAACAACGTCTGGCGTACCTGCCTCACCCGCCGCGCGGCGTGCGGCTGCGCGTGGATAAATGCTAGGGCGGCCCCTGCAGCAGGAACCTCGCGGAACCCGATCGCAGCATCGAGCGTCGACGCCATGGGCGCGGCGGGCCTCTTCATCATTGAGCCGCAGCCTTCGAGCCCGTTCGACTTTTGCATGCAGAAAGCCGCGATCGCCGGCTCGTTTATCTCTCGCGCCGAAGCCCCGATGCCCGTGGCCCGCCAGGGCCGGGCCCTGCGGCGTGGAGGACCTGGATGGCCTTCGGGCGCATCTGCGCGCAACGTTTCCCAGGGCGACGCAAGTGGATCGCCTGCAGATGATACGCGATCCCGGCCTTGACTTCCTTTCCCGCGGGCCGCCTGCAGACCCGGCGACGCACCTGCGGGCGTCTTGTTCCCGCGCCCAAGGGGGCATGAAGGAGGCGGAGATTCTGGCGGCGAGCTAAGCCTCGCTCGTTTCTCCAAATTGCGATGGACAGCTGACCCTGTGGAGCGCCAGAGCGACGTGGCGAGGGCCGCGCTGCTTGTCCAGCGAGCCACTTGGAGGGGGAAAAAAACCTTCTCATCTCGCCTCTTGCGTTGTCGACCTCTTCCCCTTATGCAATATCCCTGCTGCTGCCGCGCTAACTTTTCGGCCCCCTTCCGTCCTTTCCCTGCCTCTCGTTCCCGCGCCCTTTTTCTTCGTTTTTGGGGCCTCCCGCCTCGTCCTTTCATCGCTGTCCTGCGAATCGCTCATCGCGCGTGCGTCCGATGTAACGTGCGCAACAAATAACGGTTCCAACACTCTCGTCGTCCGTACAAAATTGCCCCCCAGGTCGAGCCCCTTGATGCACGCGCCTCGGGTACATCGCAAGGTAGCATCATCGGGCGATGACGGGCTGATCACGACACGGGAGGATCACTGGGGACAATACTGCGAATGGTAGCAATGATCGCAGAAGTCGTAACTGTACGAGACGGAAGAGTAGTAGTAAAAGAAATATAATTAGTAGTAGTAGTCGTAGTTGTAGTAGTAGTAGTAGTAGTAGTAGTAGTAGTAATAGTAGTAGTAGTAGAAGTAGTAGTAGAAGTAGTAGTAGTAGTAGTAGTAGTAATAATATGTGACTTAGTCGTAGTCGTAAAAGTAATACAAGGAGCAGTAGAAGTGGTAGGATTAGTAGTAGTGGTAGTAGTAGTGGTAGTAGTAGTAACAACGTCGTCGTCGTGAAAGAAGTAGTCGTAGTAGTAGTAGTAGAAGTAGTAGTACTAGGTGGTACAGATAGTAGTACAGAGAATAGTACTAGTATTAGTAGTAGTAGCAGTAGAAGTAGTAGTAGTAGTAGTAATAGTAGTAGTAGTAGTAGTAGTAGTAGTAGTAGTAGTAGTAGTACTAGTAGTAGTGGAAGTAGTAGTAGTAGTCGTCGTAATCGTAGTAGTAGTAGTAGTAGTAGCAGCAGTAGTAGTAGTAATACTGATAATCGTAGTAGTGCTGGTTCTAGTAACAATAGTAGTACTCGTGATAAAAATGGCATTCGTCGCGGTCGTAGTCGTAGTAATCGTAGAAGTGGTAGTACTGGTAATTCAAGTGATAACAATAGCGGTAGTAGCAGTAGTAGCAGTAGCAGAACAAGTAGTAGTAGTAGTAGTAGTAGTAGTAAAAGTTATAGCCGTAGTAGCAGTAATAGTAGTAGTAGTAGTAGAAGTAGTGGTAGTAGTAGTAGTAGTAGTAGTAGTAGTAGTAGTAGTAGTAGTAGTGGTAGTAGTAATACTAGTAGTAGTAGTAGTAGTAGTAGCTGTGGCAGGAATAGTAGTAGTAGTACTACTACTAGTAGTAGTAGTAGTAGTAGTAGTAGTAGTAGTAGTAGTAGTAGTAGTAGTAGTAGTAGTATAGTAGTAGTAGTAGTAGTAGTAGTAGTAGTAGTAGTAGTAGTAGTAGTAGTAGTAGTAGTAGTAGTAGTTAGTAATAGCAGTAGTAGTAGTAGTAGTAGTAGTAGTAGTAGTAGTAGTAGTAGTAGTAGTAGTAGTAGTAGTAATAGTAGTAGTCGTACTGGTAGTGGTGGTCACGGCTGTAATAATACCAACAGTCGACGTCGTAGTAGTAGTGATTATAGAACTGGCAGCATTCACAGTGTTAGTAATAATAGCAGTCGAGTAATCGTAGGTGGTGGTGGTGGTAGTAGTGATAATCATAATCGTAATGGTAGTGGTAACAATCGTGATCGCAACAGAGAGGTAGCAACACATGAGTCCTAGTAGGAATCGTAGTAGTAGTAGTAGTAGTAGTAGTAGTAGTAGTAGTAGTAGTAGTAGTAGTAGTAGTAGTAGTAGTAGTAGTAGTAGTAGTAGTAGTAGTAGTAGTAGTAGTAGTAGTTAGTAGTAGTAGTAGTAGTAGTAGTAGTAGTAGTAGTAGTAGTAGTAGTAGTAGTAGTAGTAGTAGTAGTAGTAGTCGTAGCAATAGTAGTAACAATCGTACTAGTAAAATAATCTTGGTAATAGGAGTATGAGTAGGGGTAGGAGTAAGAGTAGGAGCAGCAGCAGCAGCAGCAACAGCAGTAGTAGTAGTAGTAGCAGCAGCAGCAGCAGCAGGAGTAGTAGTAGTAGTAGTAGT